TGCATATAACAGTTTAGTTATTGCTTTTGAACACGGTTACAACTGCTTAGAAATTTTCCCACTTCGGCAAGGACTTCGCGATTGCTCTCAATCGTGAAGAATATCCATTCTTCACGATGTTAGACTCGGGCAGCTAAGCCGTATCAAAGGCCGAGGAGATTTTGGATTCGACCAGAACGAGCGCGTAGTGTGACAAACACCGCGGGCGCTGTTCGACCGGGCATGCGCAGATTGATGCATTACGTCACCAAGAGACATGTATGCGTTTTCGAGCGTTTTAGTGTGGACAGTCGAAAACGATATGACGCTAGTGTAGACGCGAAGCAATCGATGCGTTTTCGGCAAACAAAAACCGAGCCTTTAGATAAAGCATTAGTGTGGACGGGGTCTAAGGCATAACCATGTTTTTAACTATGGTTTCATCAAAAACACAAGTAATATTATCGAAGTAAAAAAAATAATTATTGCAAGACAAGTATACTTTTGTATTCTTATCAGAATAAGATTAATTGTGGGATCCGATTTAGATGAATACGAGAACACTGGCGGTGAAAATATTAGTCTTTATTTCTTCGTCCTTTTGACTAAAATATCGCATGTGATCTCTACGTTCAACTACGTTTCTCCTACGTTTCCCTTACATTTCACCTACGGTTCTAAAAGGTTACAGAAATCCTATTACTATAAATTCGCACTATATAAGCAATAACATACATCGTGGTGGTCGTCTCCAGATCCCAGCGTTAGCGAATTCCCCAGAGCGCTTTTTCGTTAAACTATCAACTATTTTCGTGATCTCTCCTCCGGTTGGCGAACACTAACGATGGAAACGTTATATTTACATCGACCAGGTTCGTAATATCAATTTGAAGTTGGATTTCACGGCTAAATTTCTCAATCCATTTACAACAATTGACCTAATTCACTATGACGTTACTGCTTGTTTATGTAGGGGATAGAATCGCCAAATCCAATAGAAAATTCAACGAAATTTTCTCCTAGCGAAACAGTTTAATATAAAATGGCCTGGTTTTCAGATATAATATGTGTTTGTCATGAAGCTATTTAGCTATTTATGAAAGATTATTAATTGTTATTTGTGTACTCATTGTTTTATACTTTTTCGCGTCTTCCACGGGTTTTAGAACAATTTTCGGTGAATTTGCGTTGATTTGACCCCGTCCGACGACCATGATCTTTTGCGTTTAAACAATAGATTATTTAAGATTGTTTTGATGTGACGTCATAGTGAATTAGGGCATTTTCTTAAGCGCAGAAACCAACCACAGGTTTCCAAAAATATAAATAGTGTTCTTTCGTAGAGGACCTTCTAAGTATTTTGACATTTCATAGAGTATAGTATATRTAGTAACGGATTATAAAAGAGAAATGTCTAAACTATGTTTGTTCCATGCTTTTGCTTTTATGCCCAGTGCAAAACAAGGGAATTACCTTAATCACCGAAGTAATAACTTTTATAATCTATTTCATCATCATCATCATCATCA